AAGAAACGAATTTTAAGAATTTTCTTATTTTAATTTTAAAGATAATAGATTTTTCAATTATATATAAATGAAAAAAAATCCAAATAATTGAAATTTAGTAAAATTTTTGGAAAATAATTTGATTTTTGAAAAATATAATAAAATAATCAATTTGAAGAATTCTAATAAAAATTTGATAGAAAACCAGATACTTTAAAAATTTAAATTTACTTTTTTCGAAAATAATTAGATTTTATAAAATTAAAGGTACCAAATAAAAAAATTCTGAGAAAAGTTTTTCTAAAAACATTGTGATGTTTAATTTTTTATTCATCGAAAATAATTGAATTTGAAGACAATTTAACAAACTAATCAATTTTTGACAGAATTATAATTAAAAATTTGTTAAATGATTATTTTTTCCAGCTTTTTCATAATAATTTTAACAAATTAGATTATTTAAAAAATGTTATTATTGTAATTGTTTCTTGTAGATATATTTGAATTTTCGAAAAAATGTAATTGAAAATATTGAAAAGAATTGAATTTTAAAAAATTATAATGAAAAAATTCTATGAACTACTTAATTGTAAAAAATATTTTTCAGTTATTGAAAGATGGTAAATTTTTTAATTATATATAATTGAAAAATTTCGAAATAATTATTTGCAATAATTTAGTAAATTTTTTGAAAATAATTGAATTTTTTAAAAGAATTAGTTATTTTTAATTCAATTATCAGTATAGAAAATTACTATTTGAATGAGTGACTCGACTAACATTTTCCTTACGAATCAGTTACTTTTAACTGATTAAGATTTAGAGTTTAATTTTCAGGAAAAATTCGCTAAAAGATTTTTTAAAAATTTTAATTCAACTTTTTTTGAAAATAATTGAAAATTCAATTTAAAAAAATTATAATAAAAAAATCTACTCTTTAAATTTGAATTAGTGACTAACTTCTTGCTTTTTAGTAAATACCCTGAAAAAAATTATTAGATTCAAATAACCGATTACTTGTCTATTATCAAATAAATATTTACTTGAATTAAATAATTTTTATTTAAATCAATTAAATGGTATTTGAACCAATAATTTCAGTATTCCATTCAAATACCATTTAATAAACTCAAATATATAAATATTTGATAAACAAAATAAAAATTATTTGATTCAAGTAAATATTTAAATTATAATAGAAGTAATCGTTTATTTGAATCGAATAAAAAATTTGTTCAGTTTAAATTTCATTAATTCAAAAGCAGAAAATGAGTCACTAATTCAAATTAGTAAAAAATTTTACAAACAGAAATTTAGAGAATAAGAATTAATTTTTAAAAACATTGTAATGTAATTTTTCGAAAATAAATTAATTTCTTAACAGAATTTTTAGACAATTAAAAAAAATAATCAATCCTCAGAAGAATTTTAATTATAAATTTCGAAAATGATTGCCTTTTCCAACATTTTCATATTAATTCTAAAAAAAAATTATTTATAAATTTTAATGTACCTGATTATTTTTGTAGATATTTTAAATTTCGAAAAAAATTTTTGAAGCGGATTTTCATTAATTTTTATTTTCCAATTTTCATTTGAAGATTTTACATTAAAATTTTTTGAGAGAACTTAATCATTGTCAAAATTTCCAATTAAAATTCTTAAAAATACAATTCGAGGCCTGAACGTATAAAATAATTATAAAAGAGAATAAAAACTTAAATATATAAACTGACTGTATGTGATATGATCAACCACATATTATAGGGAAAGTTAATTCGCAAAAGGTGTTGAGAATATACTTTGAAAATTGATCTTAATTAATAAAGAAAAAAAAAGTCTTGCATAAAATTAAATTGGAATTATGCAACCATCTTTAGAAATAATTATTCTGCAATGTAAAGGTATTTACAACATTTACACTATATAGCTTTGCCTCTCTCGACGATTATCGCAAGTCTCGACTCTGTCAAGTAATGGTATTGCGTGCCCATAGTGGTTTTTGTGAACCCCGAGGATATAAGTGGTTATGAATTCCAGCCGAGGGATTTTGCACACAGTGATTACTATCGATATTCCTTGCCACCTCGAAAAATATCCTCCGCCCATTTAACATCCCAAATAACTCATATAAAAAAAGAAAAAGGACAAGATTTCCTGGTCTAAAGTGTAATAAAGTATAATTTCGTGAGTTGAATGAACTTCGGGTAATTGTACAGTTTTTTTCAGCAATTAAATTTAATTAGGTATAATTTAATTTAAACGAAATGGAAATTAAACGCAAATTGAAATTTAATGTTTATTTTAAATTATTATTTTGAAAAAAACTAAAAAAAAGTATTTGTAAAATAGTAAAAAAGTTGAAAGGGGATAAAAATTAGTGAAATTATTTTACATGAATGAATCCCTTTTTGTGTGCAATTTTAATGGTTTGTCTGGAAGAACCAGACTACTAGATGGTATCATCAAAGAATCAGGGTTTCATTTCGCGAAGATATCGAGGTCAGACAGAGAAAGCCAGCAGCTCAACCGTGTTAATACAAGATGCTTATGTAATTTATAATCGCGTCTCTTATATCAAAATAAAATCTTTTCAAGATGTGTGCTTCACGACGTTTAAGAAGCTTATTCTTTTTTATCAGTTTACTGATCTAACAAATTTTTCCCTTTATGAAATCTTAAATTGTATACAAGTTTATAAGACAGTTGAAAATTTATTAAATTACTATTTCCAAATAAAATACATTCATGGATATTTATATAAATAAATTTTTCAATATTCAACAAAATTTTTAACAGGGTTGCCACGCTTTTACTTATTTGAAATTCCCTGACTTTTAGTTTTTCCAGATTAAAAAACAGAATTTTTCCAGGTTTTTAAAACTACATTTATTTTTTATCAAATTAAATAACTAATAAATTTTTATAAATAACTTCTCCAAAATTATTTTCATAATTTCAGTTTAATTATCGTTTTCCAAAATTTTTAACTAAAATTCTTCTTTAAATCAATTGTTTTTAATAATTTCTGAAAAAGTTCTTTGAGAATTTTCAAATCCATTTGTTTACAATTCAATTTTACGAAATTTGTATTATTCGGAAATTCTTCAATTAAACAATTAAAAAAAAATTTTTTTTTAATAATTTCAAAAAAAATTCAATTTAACTGTTCCAAAAACTTTTAATATTCAATTATTATCTAAAATTTTAACTGAAATTAATTTTTATATCAATTTTTACTAGAAAATTTCTGCGAGAATTCAATTCAAATATTTAATATTCAATTATTATCTAAAATTTTAACCGAAATTAATTTTTAAATCAGTTTTTATTAGAAAATTCTACGAGAATTCAATTATTTAATTACAAAAATATATAATTTGTTGAATTTATTGAATGTTTCTTAAAATTGAATTCTCATAAAGAATTTTATTAACAAATTTTTAAATAATTAAATTCTTTCGACGAATTTTAATAAAATTTTTAAGAATAATTATTGCATTTTTCGAGAAATTTGACTGAATTTATATTAAAAATAATTTGAATTCTTCGATGAGTTTGATTATTTATGAGAATAATTGAATCTCTATAATAAATTTTATTATTTATGAAAATAATGGAATTATTGCAAAGATATTTACAAAAAAAAAATTTTGAAAATAATTGAATTCCTGTGAAATTTTTATTATTTATGAAAATAATTAAATGTTTGGGTATAGAATTTTATATAATAATTGAACTTCGAAGAAGAATTTATTATTTATAAAAGTAATTGAAACTTTGACGAGAATTTTTTACAATAATTTTTTAAAGTAATTGAATTTCTGCTAAGAATTTTATTACTTTTGAAAATAATTGAATTTTTGCAATCATTTGCGAAGAAATTTATAAAAATTTGTGAATAATTTAATTCCTGTTAAATTTTTATTATTTATGAAAATAATTAAATATTTCCGTAAAATTTTATCAAAATTTTATTTAAATAATTGAAATGTTGCCAATAATTTTATTAAAATTTTTGAAAATAATTGAATTTCTAAGAAGAATTTTATTACTTTTTCAAATAATTGAATTTAAAAATTTTTTTTAAATTTGTAACATAATTGAATTGCTGCATAGAATTTTATTACTTTTGAATAATAATTAAATTTCTGCAATCATTTATAACTTCTTCAAAATTCAATTTTTTTAGTTATTTGAAAAGAAATTATTGCCAAAAATAGAAAAATTTGAATGTTTTGTATTAGATTTCAAGAATAAACACAATAACCTTGAAAACAACAATTTTTCAGGATTTCGATCAAAATTCCCTAACTTTTCCAGATTTTTTCAAGATTTATGAAATTCCCTGACATTTCCATGTTTTCCAGTTTTCCATGTTGCGTGGCAACAACTCTATTATTTTACTAATTTATAAAATGTATATTTTTTTATTTTTCCTTATTTAATAAATTAATAATAAATCATTTATAAATTCAAGAAAAAATTTTGTTTAAAAGATTTAATTCAACTGTTTGAATTTTCAATAGTAAATATTTTATAAGATGAAAGAAAAATAAATGACATTCCAAAAAGCAATTAGAATTTTAAATGAAAGAAAAAGGGATGAGACGGTAATAATTAGAAAAAGAGAAAATCGTCCTTGTGGCTGATAAATCTTTTCCTGGATGATTTTCTCTCGTCGCGGTAAAGAAAGTCGTCTCATTGTATATATAAACGGGAGAATCAACAATAGGACAATTGTCAATGACGAAATAGCCAATATTGCTATAGGCTATTGTTCAAAGAATTTTTAAACACTCACTAAAGTTTTATTCCTACGTCAACCCCACGCGTTGATCGAGGGTGACTAACGAAATTAGCATAAAATTGTGAAATGCATTCCTTATTGAGAATGCGAGAATGTTATATTCTTATGGAATAATTTTCCCAGTATTACGCATATGTTGTTCGATAATATCGATAATATCAATAAATTTTCAAAATAATATAATCATTAGATTGTAAATGTAAGTATTTACCTTATTTTTTATTTGTTGAAATTCATAATTTACTCACACATTCCTCTTTGTTGCTCAAGTTGTCGTGGATAAAAAACATAACCTCAAAATTTTCCGTCACCGGCATTCTTGTAATTATTGCACTACTTTTTTCTGATTTCTTCTGATTTTGTATATTATGAAACGATGAATTCTTTCTAATTTACCTGAAACACGATAAAATATAGGAAATTCGAATTAAATATTACTTTTCGTGTTAAAAATCGCAATTTTCTGTGTTACAACGTATTCGGAAAGTTGCACAAATAATCAATTATTTCCACATAATGTACAAAATATTAACCTTATTTTACATAAGTTACTTTAAATTTCATCAATTCTGAGATAATTTGTTTAAAAACAAGGAATAATTAGGAAAAAATCAACAATTTTAACACTTCCGATGCGTCAGGTTGAGAAAAACAAATGCGGGAAGGAAGAAGAGAATGGGTTGCATATATACAGGGGCAATTTGTTATTCACCATTAACGATCTTTTGGCTATTTAATCAAAAATTTGGAAAAATATTACTAAAAAAGACTCACGGATATTTGCTACCAGAAATATTTTGAACACCATCTCAATTTAAACGGAATTATTACCAGAAAGGTGTATTTCGATAAACGCATAGTCTCCCCCACTCCATCCTCCCTCAAGCCTCACAATAACCATGCAAATTGGAAATTTTCGTAAAAAATTATTACTTCCGACTCGAATATTTTAATACGAAACAAATCTAAAGGCGTTAAAAACGTAGAGTATTAAAATTTTCATAGCAGGATGTTAAAAATATTACTCTTTTTTTCACTCCCGTGCGTTTCACAATTTTAGTGTCGATTTTCTATACCTACTTACCAATAATAAATATTGAACACTTTTCTTCTAATTTCACTAAATTTACATCATTTACATCAACTGGATAACTATTCTCGAAAAGATTTAATATTTTCGTGAATATGTAGTGAATCAGAACGTAAAATTTTCTAACACTTCTTTGTTATTGCAAAAAAGAATATAAATAAAAAGTTGCCATATTGGAATAATATATATAGAACTTCCGGTTTTGTCTTGTATCAATCGTACCAATCTAGTAAAATTAAAAATTTCCCCACCCCGATCAAAAAAAGTTCATTATTTACCAAAAATACATTTTACAGATTTGTTTTTATAATTTATTGCTAAATAAATTTAGAGAAATATAAAAACGAATAAAAATGAGAGAAAATCTTACAGGATGTAAGAAAACTACTGTTTTGTATGTAAAAAATATGAGATGGGTTTTGGCGGACATTCACGATTGATTAGATTATTGATTCTCTATATTTTTCTACAAATCCTGTACATTTATGTTAAAAATTAACGAAACTTTCTTTAAATTAGATCAGAGTTTCATAAAAAAATAATTATTTTTGTTAAATTGTTTATAATTACCACTTCATTTGTAATAAATCTGCGGAGTATCCTCCCTGAATAGCATCGCCCATGACAATGAAAACGGATGTAGCCATTACTCATATCAATTGAGCATCAGCATTCTGATTGGTGGATTGTAAATCGAACTTCCGGTTTTTTGAATACTAGATTCAAAACTTCAATTTGATTTTTACTTCTTTTTATTATTTATTTATTAATTATATATGAAAAATAGTAAAAAAGTTATTTTATTTATCTATTATTAATAGTTATTAATAACTATTATTAAATAAGATTTTTAGTTTTTAGAAAATAGAAATTTTATTTTTCTAACGGTTTAAATTTCGTTTCTTGTATAGCGGAAGTACAATAGATGACGCTTTAGTATCCATCAGAAAAAATGGCTACTTCCGCTTGACAACAACATGGACAAAGTTGACAAAGTTTTAATCTTTTAACATTTTTGGAGATATTTCTTGTGCAGAAGATTATATTATTCATAAGTGTTCACAATTTGGCAGGGTAATATTTAGTTTCCTGTAAAAGTAACAAAGTTTTGAGAAAATGGACAAAATGATCCGGAAATTTGGTTGCGGAATATTTCCTAACCTCAACGTTTTGATGCGTATTAGAAATTTAATTTCGCTGTTTCTTCGGTGAGTTGTAAAATTAATAAATACAGAATTTCTATAATAATATTATCTCTTTGAACTTAAATATTTGTATATAATATCGAAAAAATCAACGGGAAAGTGTTGAAATTGTGTTTGTATTTTGTTTTCAAATCTGTCAGACATGTCCTCGCGGAATCAAAATCTAAAATAATTTATACAATGGTAAATCTTCCATGAATGACTTTAAAAATTCAAAAATCTTGATTGACCGGTAACACCGCTATTTCTGAATCGCTCCACACATAGTTCGAGGATATTCGTTTATAAACTTGCAAGGACCACATTCCACCTGAATGTCAAGGCCACGTCAACAGACTGAGTAAATATTAGGAAACATTGAAACACTTTTCGCAAGAAAATTATGCCATTTTGTGACACACTTTTCTTTAGAATGCTCGTTTTTCATTTACATTCAAGGTTTATTCAGAGGTAAGCAAATAAAAGTTATAACAATTAAAAGTAAATAATAACTTGAATTTATTTTCACAATTTTTTCCCCACATTTTACAAACAATTTTATTTGAACTACATTTTAATAATACAAATAATCTCAGCCTATAAACACACGATAATTTACATACAGGAATTACAGGATTTGAATGTAATCTCAATTTCAAGTTTTGTCAACAAAAAAAAATACAGACTTTCACCAAGTAGTATAGAAAATACGTATATAATAATTTACAAACTTTGCAAATTCGCTTATATACAAAATGCTTTCACTACAAAACTATACGTCTAATGAAAAAAAAATTTGAATACTTTTAAAATGACATGGGGTTAAAGGGAAAGTTTTCTACCCTACAAAACTTGAATAAATTATAAACATTAAAATGACATTTTGTGAAAATTGTTGATTTAGAAACATAAGAGTCGTGAATCTTTGAATATAACCGAGTAATTTAATATTTTATTTTAGCAGAGTGTATTTTATCATGATTATATAGTGTAGATACTAAGTGGTATTTTAACAGATACCTGCATAATTTGTAGATCATGAAAACTGACAAGGTATTAAAACTTTAAAATACCTTCTAAGAATTAATAATCACTTGAACACGAGACTGTTTGGAGTCCAAATAGTCTTTACTTTACTTATTTCAAGTGATCATTAAAATCCTAGAAGGTACGTGCAAAATCCTTGACACATTTTTATTAAATCTCTTGTTATGACAAATTGCTTTAGTTTCAATGTATATTATTTTAATCAAATAAATATATTAATAATCAAATATTAATTAATTAAAATTAAACTAATGTCAGAATTTTTTTTTAATTTTATCCGTTTTTTCAGAAATTTTTATTGATATTGTCATTTTGATTACAGAAAAGAGTCGGGGTTACTACAGGACAGAAAAATTAAAGGGATCAGGGAAATGTCAGGGAGTTTCGTCAAAATTATTGGAAAAATACCAAATTTCTAGAATTGTTATAAAAATTCTGGTTTTTAATGTTCAGAAACATTTTTGAAAAACTTAACCTTGAATTTTCATTTTTTTCATTTTCAGAAATATATTTCAGAAGCAAGGTTTTAATTAAAACTTTTTGAAAATTTCAATTGATGTGAAGAAAATATCTAAATATTTAGAAAATTATTTAAGTTTTAAATAATTTTATTTAAAGTTCTGTAAAAATTAGATTTCTGAGAAAATTTAATTCAATTTTTCAAAGATACTTGAATTTAAAAAAAATTCGATTAAAGAATGATCAAATTAATTGAAATTTTATGAAATTGAACTGAAAATAATTATATTTATGTCAGTAAAGTCAGAAAAACAAAATTTTTGTGAGGAAAATGACGGAAAAAAAATTTTTGTCAGGGAAATTAAAAAAATTCAGACGTTTATCGATTTATTTTCAAAAATTGAGACTTTTTCGACTTTTCTTGTAAATATTGCAACAACATACCACATTTTTTAGTATAAAATGCAACTTATTTCGATTTTTATAGTGCGAAAAATAACTAAACAAATCTTTTTAAATAATCGAAGTTTAGTAAAATTTAATTGAAAATAATTAATTTTTTCAAGTTTTTTTTACAATTTTTTAAAATCATCTTTTGAAGAATTTTAATTGCACATTTTTAAAATAATTAAATTATTAAAAATGTAAATGAAAAATCTTTAAATGTATATTTAAAATTATAAATTAATGAAAATTAGCTTCTAATTTTTTAAAATTCAATATTTTCAGTATTTTCAATTAGAAAAATTAGAAATCAAATTTTTGTTTAAATCCTGACAATTACAAATTAATCATCAAAATGTTAACAGTCATTGCAAACCAAATGATTTACTGACATAATTTTTTTCAAATTTTTAAAATAATTTTAATCTTTTGGTTTATAGAGACATTTTTTGAACTTTATCAAATTTTTTAAAGAATTTTAATAATGTTGTCATTTGGTTTACAAAAATTTTTTCAAACATTTAAAAATTGTGAGAAGAAAAATGTTGTGTTTTAAGGTAATTAACATTTTGATGATAAGTTTGTAACTGTTTTTCTGTAATCAAAAGACTTTTAAAGTATATAGTTGCATGGGGGTAAGTTACGACGTGACCAGAAACGATAGAATCGTTTATGGCTTTCGTCGTCCAGACAGGTTCGATATAACGGAAGCATATACATAGCTCTGTATTTAATTACTTAGCGACTTCCGCAATTGCCCCTGTGTATTGATGTTGTTTTATTTAAAACCTAAGTGCTTCTTATCGATTATATTCTAGACAAACTGCTTGTAAAATTTACACGCACAATTTTCTCATTCCATTGAGAGAAATAAAAGAAATCTCTTTACTTTATACAAACATAAGCATGCATGTTATTTAATTGTGATTTATTATCGTCAGAAATCATCCCAGTCTCAAGGTTGAATAAACTCGTTCATGTTTTTCAACTATTTTTCAATCCTACTTTTAATATATTCATTAAAATACTATTTAGCTTTGATTTTATTTTATATTTTGAAAATTTACAATTTTTCTCTTTTTTCTTGCAGGGAAACGAAGAGCAGAGTAAAAATGAAGTGTTGTTCTTTTCAAGGATTCTAAGGACTATTCAGAATGCATTCCGAGTGGCTGAAGGTAAAAATTTGTCCTTTTATCAACACTTGTAATAAATATCAATTCATCAAAGTAAGTGATCCTAAAATTCCGAAATTTATTTATTTCTTATTCAAATTAAATTTTGTCACGTACAAAAAAAATAATTATAAAGTTTTTAAATGTAAAACTTTTATTGCAATTAGTAATTCATAAAAACTCATTCATTTGAACGTTCAAAACTTGTTGAATATCAAAGTAGTAAATTTAATATTTTTGCAGTAATTAGAAAATAGATTTAAAATTAAACAATAGTTATTTAATTTTGACATTTAAAAGAAATGGGGTAGAGAAAATTTTTTAGGGAGAAATTAGAGAAAACTTGAGAAGACGAATTCAAATATGAAGAATATTCATCAAGTTAAATAGAGGTAAAGGAGTGACCTTTCTCTCTAAATCGACAGAATGGATGGAAAACGAGTTGTGTATATAGAGAGAAAGAGACGAAGCATCATTTGCGGGGCGCATCTTTCGACATAAACTTATACGCCGTTGTTTGACACCAATCATAGTCGTACAGCTAAAAATTCCATTTAAAAGAAGAACTTTCACCGTGAAGATCCCACAGCATCAAAAGGCATTTGACCGCGCGACATTGCAATGTTGGGTGTCGTTTGCTCGTAATCGCGTGTTTTGTGTCGTCCAGTTGTCACGTGGCAGTAAACAAGCATGCAACATGTGCAAGGATTTACCGCAGGCATGTAATGAAACGTCGCTGCGGAGTCAATGATCTGTGTGTATATGTGTACTTCTTTTAAAAGTTCTTTTATAATACGTTCGTTGATATAAGCACATTGGCACGCACCGAAGAATCGCCTTGTGTGCTTGGCAAACTTTCCCAATGACTTGTATGCGGCAATCACGTTGCTTTGGAACTAGCAACATTTACCACCCGTATAACGAACGAATTCCTAGCGGACACACCAAGGAAAATGTTTACTATTTCATTTCTTTCTCTTCAAAAAAAAAAGAAAAAAGAAGGCACACAATTATATTGAGGAAAAAATTTATTTGCCTCACTGCAATTAATCAAATCTTAAAATAACAAAATCTTCATCTTGCTTCAATTTAAACCCGAATTTTTAATTTTTATGCAATGGAAATTGTATAAAAATAATACAAATTAAATTAAACAAATAAAATTTGCAGGGCTCGAACTAGGTCCGTAAATCCCGTAAAAGTCCGTAACTTTCCTTGAAGTCCGTAAAAGTCCGTTTTTTCGAAAAAAGGTCCGTAAAGTACGTAAATTATACGATATAATTTGGATAATTTTAGAGAAATTACAAATGATTGAAAGAATTCAATTATTTTCAAAAGTAATAAAATTCTTCGCAAAAATTCAATTATGTTCAAAAATTTTTAAAAATTCTCGTCAAAATTTCAATTATCTTTAGAAATAACTAAATTCTTCTCCGAAATATCAATGATTTTCAAAAATTTTAATTATTTTCGAAATTTTTCTACAATTTAATGATTAGAATTTAGATATTATTTTTAATAAATTTTTAATTAAATTTCTTTAAAGAATAAAATTATTGCATTCAAAATTTGTAATTCAATTCTTTGCGTAAATTATCAATTATCTTCATAAATAATATAATTCTTCTCTAAAATTGAATTATTTTCAAAAAATTTAATAAATTTCTTGGCAAAATTTCAATTATTTTCAAAAATTTTCCCTAATTTAATTATTTTTAATATCTACTATTTTAATAAAATTTTGCAAAAGAATTCAAATTTTTTGAAAATTGATTGATACAATTCTTTAAAAGAATTCAATTTTAAGAAAAATATGTAATTATTCAATAAATTGTTTTTTTTTACTTAAATAATGAAATTCTCGTAGAATTTTCTCATAAAAATTAATTGAAAAATAGATTTCAGTTAAAATTTTAGATTAGAATTGAATATTAAAAGTATTAGAGCGTAAAGTTTTAGAAATAATTAAATTTTGAAAAGGTTTCAGATTTAAATCTTTGAAAATTTGAAGAATTTTAGTTAAAAATTCTTGAAAACAATAATTGAATTGATAATGATTTCATCACTCTATCTTTAATTATTATAAAACATGAAGTAATCGATCGCTCCGAGTCGAAGACTCGGAGTTATCGATATCTTCATGTTTTTTAGTTATGAAAAAATCTAATTTATAGTTTTAAGTAAAATGTTCTCTTATATATTTTTGTCAGTAATTGGTCCGTAATTTTTTATTTTTGGTCCGTAAAGTCCGTATTTTTAAATACTTTCACTGGTTCGAGCCCTGAATTTGAGAAAAATAATATAAAAATTAAACAAATAAAAATTGAAAAAAATAATATAAAAATTAAACAAAGTGTTAATTGGACAAATGGAAATATTCTGCCAAGGAAAAAATTTAAATTGCAAGAAAGAAACATTCGAAGATGAATATTAAAGGAATACAAAATTACATGAATGTATGAACTCTTTTTAAATAGTATTGAGAGCAGTTATATATTCGAAAGTAAAGAGCATATAAGCAACTAAACAATGCATCGATCTGAATCGAAGTCGTCAATCAGCTGACTGAGAAAGTCTCCGCAGTTTACAACCATCCGTACCAATCCATCAATTTTATCTGCCTGATAAATTAATTTATAGCATGTCAACGTACATAAAGAATTATTCGGTAGTATTTTCTAATGCACATCTGATTTACATTCACATTATTGAGAAAATTATCATTTCGAAAGTTTCTCAATTTTAATAATACATTAGAATATTTAAATATAATTAAATATTTTACCGTAAATAAACTAAACTATTACTAAATATGAAAAATAAAATATTAAATATGAAACGTAAAATACAAACCTCGGATTGTTTAACTTTTTCGACTTTTTTCGATTCATTTTCAAAAAATGCGACTTTTTCGACTTTTTTTTAAATATTGCAAAAATAGGACTCGTTTGTTATAAAATGCAAATTACTTTAATTTTTATAGTGTAAAAAATATTTGTCGTCAAATATTTCAAAAACTATTTTTGATTAATTTTTCTAATAGTTAAACTTTTGAAATATATAATTAAACATTTTTTAAATAGTTGAAAGTTTGTAAAATTTCATTGAAAATAATTAAAATTTTTAATTAACTAAATTTTGAGAAAATTTAATTGCAAATTTTAGAAATAATAGAATTCTCAAAAATTATGATGAAAAATCAAAATGGAAATTAGTTTTTTAAAAAAGAATATTAAGAAATTATTTCAAATAAGTAATTCTCGGAATTTTGTATTATAATCTTTTAAAATTCAATGATTTTCAATATTTTCAATTACATATTACCGAAAATTCAAAATTCGCAAAAAATAATTACATTATTTTATAAATACTCAATTTTTTTGGATTTATTATTAAAATTTTGAAGGAAACACTTATTTTCAAATTTATTAATAAAATTTCATCAAAAATCTAATTAATTTAAATTGTCCAAAAATTCTCTTAAGAAATTCAATTATTTTTGAAAAATAACTTTGTAATTATGTACAAAAAAAATTTTTAAATGTGCTTTAACATTATAGACTTATGATTAAAATTTTTAAATCATATTTGCAATTAAAATTCGTCAAAAAAAACTTGATTATTTTTTACTATTTTGCAAAAATTGTTTTAAAAATTTTTACTAAATTTCAATTATTTGAAAATTTTTGAATTATATATAATTAAGAAATTTATTATTCAAAAATAATTTTTTAATATTTTTACAAAACAAATTTTAAGAATTTTTTTTATTAGAAATTCTTAAAAACGATTATATTCAATATTTTTGGTTACATATTTTCAATAATTATATTCTTAATAATTTTATTATTATTAATTATAATTAATGTAATTATATTCTTAATAATTTTAGAGAGAAATTAAGTTAATACAATTTTTTGTAACAATCCTGAAATATGAACGACTTTTTCCATTTTTTTTAATCTTCAATCGACTAAAGAGCCTTAAAGTCAATCCGAGGCCTGAAAATATTAAATAATTAAAATATTCAGAAAATAATTTCAAAATTGTTTGCTTATCAACAAAGTTAATAGAATTTTCCTTTTTATAATTTTTGCAATTTTTAATAATAAAATTAAAAGTTTCATTTATTGATAATTTAAATTTATTGACATGATAATTTTAATTTTCTAAATTATCTAAATTTTCATCTCTTTAAGAATCGCTTAGTTCCGTTAAAATGACAAATATAAAATTAATTTGATAATTAAGATGCGAAAGAAGAGAAGATAATCGTATTCAACTTTTAATCTGTATAATTTGTTTCTTGGAAAAGACATCAAAGCGTCAAAAATTGAATAAATCAATTTCTCACTAACTTTTCATTTGAAAGCGAGCGTGAAAAATGTGATTTCCACAACGTGATGAATTTGATATTTTATGTATAAACTTTTTAGTTTAGTTTCTATCGACATCTATAAAATAAACAACTTCAACAATTTTCTCTAAAAGCAAGAAAAAAGTCTAAAGCATAATATAATAAACGGTACTTTCAATTGATTGTAGTTTCCAATAAAATCTATACTACTTTTTAGTTTCTAACAATCGTAATTTCAATAAATGACACTTATAATTGATTGACGCTTTAATTGATAGGTTTATTTTACACTTTATGGGAAAAATTAAAATATCAAAACAATTATTTTACTGTCGAAGAAAAATTAATTTATTAATTGAATTGTATTTTTTTAAAATCTGAAATTGAAGTGTAAAATCAAGTTCAATTAAGTGTAGTTTTACAACATTCGAGATTAATTAAAACTACAAACGGAAGATACAATTAATTAAGATTGCTAACAAAGTCAGTTTCAATGGAGAGTTATTCCAATTAATAATAATTGTAAATAATAAAATTATTCATTTTTGAATGTTGCAAACAAATATTCACATTGCATGAAATATTTAGAGCAGAAGAAATGGAATAATTAAAATAGAAAAAGAAAGAATGATAGAATGGTTGTTTG